CTGACACAAGGGCAACTCCTGTACCAGAAGCATCCGCTAACGTAGACAACTTCACCTTCTACACAAAAACGGATCTCTTTGAACATGACCTCCACTCAAGTCATGCAAGACTCGTCTTTCATCATGAACATTGAACTCCACTACATTCCTGCAAAGCATTCACCTGATGAAGGTATGACATATAGAACCACCCTGCTTCGACTCTCAGTCTCTCCCCGTGTGTGTGCCAGAGTATGGAGGAAAATGCATATACTTCTTTAAATTGACATCATTGTGTGTAGAGTATTGAGAGGCTTCATAGGGAAAGTTCCTGCCCATCTGTAACGTTAATAGACAGTGTTTAATTAACAGGATGACACAGTTATTTGTGTCTGAAAAGTAATATATTTCTCTTTAAGTCCCAGATTGAAGCTGAGAAAGTTGACAAACAACTAAACAACGGCAGCCTACCCTACCAACTCTATTTGATCAGCAAAGAAAATATGGTGCCAAGTCACCAGAAGCACGGAAAATAAACAGGGCTGTAGCTGAATATATTTGCATGTCATATTATATATTTGCACTACCTCAGACAACTTAAAAATGGTCAATTTTTGTTATAGTATGTATTGTTCTAATCTTAATTAAAAAAAGGGTTAGGGTCATTTGTTTCTCCTGTGGTATTGAAAATGGTATCCAGTACGAGTATTTTTCCTGGGTATTGTATCGAGTTTGAAATCTTAGTATTGTGACAACCCAACTATAGACACGCATCTGCCTCCACTCTCAAACCCCTAGACTAAGTTCACAGTTATTCTATCCATCATTGCACCTAGTATGAAAAGGTTGATGGGCATCTCCAACACTAAGACTGATGAACATTGTTTTTTTTTGTCATAAAGCCTAAAGGGCAACATGTCATCATACACCACTTCCTTGGTCCATAGTCAGAATGGTTAATACTCAAAGTTCTATGGAAATACGTTAGTTGTCTCTCCCCTTCCACTACGTAGCCCAGATGGCGACCACTGAGGGTGAGAAGTGTCCAATGTTCCAGTGTTGAGTGAACCATCCAGTGACTTGCAGTGCACTGCATTGTGCCATACTTGTCAATGTGAATGCACTATGCATTCAAAAAATCCATCCATTAGCTATACTGCTTTTCCTTATAGGGTCACGGGGTGGCTGGAGCCAATCCTGGGTACTCCCTGGAAAGGTCGCCAGTCTATACGCTACATCCACAAAAGCGTTTTTTTGCAGCAAACATAAGAGCAAAATTGAAAAAATTATAAATCAGCATGTTGCCAAATTCCACCCACTACTCAGGCCACAAAAATTGACACTCATGACCTCAAGGTGGTGAGGAAACAATCAATTTTACTTTTCACGATTATTTCTTAACAGCTTGACCTAGAGTCAAATTCATCTTGATCTATTGCTCTAAAATGTCAAACTTTGCGATTATTGCCGCTGTATTTTATTCTGAAGTTGGTACTTTTGAGCACTCCTAAGTGATAAACACAGGCCCTCATCACTGAAGCTGAGAACAGGGTGTGGAAGGATCGCTGATATTCACTGACCCATTTGATCTGCGTCACAGTCTAAGTCTGAATGAAGTTATTGTAGTGAACACTACAGTGTTTCCCACAGTTTGGAGACTTACTTGTGGGGGTTGGACCAACTGGATGGGGAGGGTTTTCATATCCTGGTGAGAAACACTTCACTTCACAGTCAGCTGTGAAACAGCGCTGCATTTATGAGTTGACCACTTCTTCATATCTAAGTACCACACATCAGCTGTGACACAACAACATGCATCAAGGAAAAGTCAAGGGAGCCATAAAACACAAAGTAACTCTGCCAGTGTTACATGAAGAAAAACTGCAGCCTCTGTTGTATATGGCAACTCTTTACAAAGTGAAACTGGAGTAAAAAAAAAAAAAAAAAAAAAAAAAAAGATACTTTTGTAAAGGCCCCCATTTTTCACAATCTGACTTCAAAACAAGTTGTGTATACACAAAAACACGTATACACACACCACCTGATCCTTCCAGCCTGTGTAACCTAGTAATGATTATGATAAGAACAGTTCACAGCCAGACTGTACTCACTAATCACACATCAAAAAACTTAAGACCGGCCACAGACTGAGCAGCTGAAGCCAAGCTGCGGACCACACACAGCCTGCTGACCTGTAGAGTAACACTACAAGTTGCTTTCCCTTCCCAGTTTCCCAGTTGGTCGCACCTGCTAACAAACCAGTCAAATAACTGGGCTGAGCTGTCTAAAACATCTTTGACAAAATGCTGTAAAATCAGCTGCTTCAGCCACTGGTCAGCAAATAAAAAGATATGTAGTGTGTAGCTGACTATTTGAATTAGGTTGAAACATTCAAGACATTTGGGTATTCTGCATGATTGCAGAATCCAAGACCATCAGGGACATTAGGAAAGTGGGTACCTGTGATATGGTGAGTGGA